GGTCTGTTTAGGGTCCTCCCTCTTCACCCGGCCTGGCAGGCCCCCCAGGGCAGGTGGGAATGGGGGTCAGACCAGCTTCTTGGGGTCTCACTGGAGGGACCCCCTGCAGGCTGCCAGGGCACAGGTCTAGCCCCTGGGCAGGCAGTCGTGGTCAAAGCCACCAGGCCAGGTTTGGTGGAGCTACTGTTGCCTGGGCCTAGGGTGGGGGCTCCCCCGGAAGTGCCCCGCCCCAAAGGGTCACTGGTACCTGGCTCTCTGGTCCAGGATGCAATTCTGCGTCCCCAGTGGCTTCCCCCACAGCACAGCCCCCACCCCCAACCTCAGAGGGTCAGTGTCTCAGGGCTTTGCACTGGCTGCTGGTCAGCCTGCTCCCTACCCCGCACACAGGCCCTGCCTGACCCACGGGCAACCCCGAGCCGTGCTGGTCCCAGGACCCCTGCCCTTCCGTTGAGTGGCCGGGTCAGGCGAGGGCGGGAGGATGGAACCTGGGTTCCCAGAGAAAGTAAGGCATGTGGACCCAGGAGCTGAGGGCCACGCAACCCTGCCTAAGCCTTCAGGGTGGGCGGCACCATGAGGCCAGCACCCGGTGCCCAGACAAGACCTCAGGCCCCAGAGCCAGCAGCAAGGGCCTCGCTGCCCCAGGCTCGGGGACGTGCCCGGCCTCCGTGCCCCGGCCCAGCGGCGTGAGAGGACTGGCAGCGGGAAATGGCTGGAGGGCGGAAAGGTTCCTGTACCCATTAACCAGCACTCGCGGAGACCCGGTGAAGAGGAGGGAGGCGGTTCGTGTTTGTCAGACCAGGAGCCGGGGACCTGGCAGCCGGCAGGGCTGAGTGCTGAGGGCAAGCCCACGCTCGCTTGGAGGACGAGCTGGAGGCCCATCTCCAGCCGGAGCTCCAGGACTCGGGGCAGAGGAGGCTGCGTGCTGCGTTTTAGTTTCCTGTGAAGGGTGTCCCACGCTGGGCCGCCCAGAAGCGGCCTGAGCTCCGCACTGCCACATGGGCACGCACGGGGGCTTTCACGCACCCCTGAGGCCAGACTGCGCCCCACCAGGTCCTGACCAGCCTTAGGGGCCCCGACCGTCCCTGCGACGCCCTCAGCACCGCCGTGTCCTGCCTGCCATCGGGTGTCGGGTATTCAAGCTCGAGCGCGCGTCCCTTACCGCCTCACGCGTGGCTTCTTCGGGGCAGCAGCGTGATGGCATGTGAACCTGTCCAACGTGCTTCTTTCCACATGTGCGCCCTCTCCGCTCCCCTGGAGGACAGCAGGCGGCCAGACCAGAGGACCTGCAGGAAAGGCCAGGACTAGACAAACTTCACTGCTGTCACGTGACGAGTTTTCAACAGACAGACAGACAATTGCTCAGGCAACCAGACGGAGATGGAGACGGTCCTCGCTGTGGGGGTGGGGGGTGGGGGGTGGGTGTTAAGGAACCCCACGGGCGGCGCATTTCAGAAGCCCTGGGAGGACTTGGGGCCAGAGATGCTCCCGTGCTCTGTGGGCTCTGCTCTGGGGAGACGTGGAGCGAGGCCGGTCTCTGCAAAGCCGAGACAGCCCTTCCCCACTCCCCGGTCCTGGCTGTTTAAACGGGAACGTTACCCCTTCCCTGTGACGGGACCCCGAGGCCCCTGCCACCAGCCGGAGCTGGCAGCCCGCCCGGGCCTGGCCCACCCCCATCAGTGAAGGTGACACGAGAACAGAACTCACACCCTGTCTCCACTGCAAAGATAACTAAGAGGCTTTTTATTTCATTAATAATTAAGGTTATGCTCATATGTGTCTCAAAATAACCCCAATGTTTAAGACATGCCATTACAATAGTCGTACGGCTAACGGGCAGGACCCACACACTGGAATACACACCTTATCAGACAGCAAGCCAGTGGCAGGTGTGGCTCCAATTATTAAAGTGCCAGATGGAAAGCTGAAAAGCTTTGCTTCAAATAACTGCACAGGATAAACTTAGACCCTCAAAAACCAGATGGAAATTGGCAAAATAAAACAAATGAGAAGAACTGTTTAAATTCTCAAACACGCTAAATTGCGTTAAATATGTCTCACCAAGGGCTTGAGGAAAACAGCGGTAAACTGTACGTGGTTGACACGTTCATTCCTTTATTTTCGTAACCACTCAGGCTGCCTGTGTCCCTGGCGGACGGAAGCAGCCGGAAAGCAGACACCCGCTGGCTTCGCATGAACAGAGGTTACACGGAACGCAGACCAAGGCCAGACACTGGGGGGTGGGCGTTACGTCCATCACAGATTCTCCTCATGTCACATCACAGAAGCACATGCCACGGGAGGAACTGAACTGAACGATTACACAGACTCCCTAGGGGGCAGGGAACGCTGACCCTGGTGGCGGGCTCAGTGCGGGCAGAATGAGCGGGTAAAGGGACACAGGCAGGCACGCCTCACCCATCACTCAGGGTTGGTCCGACTGTTTCCATGACCACAGTAGCCCCATGAGCGGTGAGCGATCCCCAGTGCCGGCCGAGCAGCAGTCTGGCCACACAGCCCGGAGCTCGGCAGGGCCGGCTCCACCCCCACAGGAAGCGTGGACACAGCAGCGGGCAGCGCTGCTGGCAAACAACCGGTGCGAGCGCGGCCCTGAGCTTCCAGCTCTGGCCCTGAACACCAAGCGCAGCTGCTGCGGGTGTTGGGGTGAGTCAGGGAGGCCCGCCGCCCCAGTACTCCCACCAGTGCTGGAAGGCACCCTGAAACTATGACCCAGGACAGCACCCTAAAAGGACTGGCCAACACGGGCTCCAACAACCTGCACTGGGACAGCCCCAGCCGCCAGGAGCTGGGGGGCAGGCGGGCGGGCTCACTGCCTGGCACCCGACTGCCCTCTGACCCCACTATCGGAAGTCCGCTGCAGGAGGAGCTAGCAGGGGTTTTAATGATCGGGCAACACTGCGCGGCCAGACCTGCCCAGGCTCCGCCCTCCCTGGGCGCCCAGGGCCGTTCCCGCACCGGCCCAGGCTCCGCCGTTTACATCGAGTGCCACTTGTGAGAGGTGACACCGGGAGCACTTAGCCATCACGCTCGGACCAACACGTCATCAAGGCGCTTCAGAGCTTCGGGAACCGAGTCTTTCGCTTCTTGACGGGCAACCTGAGGTCCTCGGAGAGAATTTACAGACACGCGCCCCTCTCAGCAGAGGGAACAGCACTTCCCGCACTCACAGACCTGGGCCCGGCTGGCTCCTTCAGGCACTAGAAACGTCCACGCGCTGGTCACGGGAGCGAGAGGCCCTCTCACTGCCCGGCCGCCGAGTGCCGGGACGATGCTAGTGGCTGACGGCGACC